CACCTTTCTCAGTTTGCCCCTGAAGAAGAAAGGTCCACCTTTCAAAAGTGCTCAAGTTATAGGGTTTTCATTAATTTATATAAAATACAAGATACATGTTATTGTAAACATACTTAATTTTAAAAATATTTTCTTAGTCACAGTATATATTTCCATAAATATATTTACACAGCATTGAGCTATATTTTTACACATGGATTGTTTAATTTCAGCTGCAGTGAATTATTTTAAATATGTACAATAGGTGAAATTACATTTATATATAACGGTTAAATAAAAGTTAAAAGTTCTAATTTTCCTACACTGAAAATATATTTCCTACAGGTACTTACTTCCACTCACATATATAACTATTCTTGTTCAGTACTACCCTCTATTTGCAAAATTTTTTTCATACACCACAAGCATTTTATTGCTATGTACCCTCTCGGTTCACATGGTTTAACTGATTCACACATGCAACTTATCATGTGAAAAATCCCCCACCAATAGATGTGCCTCAACTGTTCCAACAAGCATCTCACTAACATACCCATTTCCTCCTATAGGAAGCAGCACATGTGGGATGGCTTATCAAGCTGGAGAAGTTCTTACCATTTTCCAGTTCCAAGCCATGGGTGTGTGTGTGGATCATGGAGGTCTCCTCCTGAATGTGAAATATACAATATAAATATAATCCATCCATTCAGTTGAGAGTTGGGTGGCGGTGTTCTGCTGATGTAGACATGATTGGGATCCCTCATTCTAAACCAGCATGGAAGTCAGTTCCTGGCAGTTGTGTTTTGGATTTACAGTTGAACCAAACAACATATTGACCACACTCATGGTATGAATATTGGTATCCCTCATCCTACCCCTGCCTGGATGTTGGTTCCTGTTGGTTGAGTTTTGGATTTAGAGCTGAACCAATCAACATAAGTCCTTGCACAAGTGTTCAGGGTGTCCCTGCTCACTTAATCAATCCATTTAGGGTGCACTTCCCTGTGTTGATGGGTGCTCTTGGTCATTGCTCCACTTCATTCTCTTGCTCTTCCCTCGATGTCTTTGTGTTGGGGATGGTACTGCATTTGGGATGGTCCTGGTATGTTTGATTTGGGAGGGATATATTGGTATTTCATTCTGATCACATGTGCCCTTTTTACCGATCAGTGGTTGTAATTCTCCCTCTGGTTGGCTTAACTTGAGGACTTGCAATGTATGGTCCATCATGCCCTAGCCACTCTTCACCTTGGGGCACACCCTTCTTTTACCAATAATAAGATGTGCTCTTCATTTATGTCTGCCCGACTCAGTGTCATCTTTTCCATGTCTAAGAGAAGAGTATATCTGGTACAGAAGTGGTGCAGACTTCCATGAATTATCCTCTTCTTTGAGGGTTTCCTCTTGGGTTGTGTTCTTTGGATTCTTTCACAGAATGCTCCTCTTTTCTCCCTTGCACTGGTCTCTCCTCCTATTCAATTTGGGATTCTAGCTATGTATGTGAGCAGAAATAAGGCACTTGTCGAAAGTTATAATTTTCATGAAAATATATTTCTGACAAGTACTTACTCTCACACTTTCCACCCTCCCTTCCACACTGTCTAGCGGTGCTTAGTTTTCTTCTTAAACTCTATACTGATAGTTAGGTAGAATTGCATAAACAAAGTCACATGAGTCATGTGTGTGGGCTAAAAGGAGCCAATCATCCATGTAGTGATCGAACTGCAAACCCTGAGTTTGAAGATGATGGGCAAAGGCTCTGACCACATGACAAAAGATGTATGGCACTGACACCAGACCAAAAGGTAGAGCACAGAACTGAAAAGCTCAGCTCTTGTGAAAAAAATGAAGGTAACGTCTGGATGTAGGAGTGATGGGGTTATGAAGGTAAGTATCCGATATTTAAATTCGATGACAAGGAACCCACTTTGAGACTAATAATGGCTGGAGACGGCTTGAATGGGTAATGAAGAAAAACTTTAATATAACAGCAAATGTACAACGTTTCGACATCGACCTTTGTCATTCAAAGACCTGGAGTGAACGATCAACTAAACATGAAGAAATTCTCCATGGTGAACCCACGGAAGGATGATGAAGAGATTGAGGTTTGACAGATTAATGACAGGACTCCAGTCCCCAGTTTTCTTAGGAACCATGAAAATCCAAGAATAAAACCCTGGAGAAGTGTGAAATACTTGTTTGATAGCATATTTGTGCAAAGGATTGTGAACTGCCTCCAAGAGACACTGGCCTGAAATGGAATCCCGAGGAAGGGGGGGAAGGAAATGGGCAGAAAATCATAGGAAAAGTTGTGATAGAACCTGAAGAACCCAGAGCTCTACAGTAAACAAATCCGGCTAACCATGCCCTTACAGTACTAGAACCCATAGGATAGTCACCAATGAAACTGGCATCAGTAAACACGATGATGAACAATTTGACAGCTTGCTGCAAAAACCCAAAAAAGGTGGCATCAGTAGTGGAGAGGATGCAGGGATAAGAGACATGGGAAGAGAGATAGGTGAGGTTTGGGAAAGACAAAAAACAAGGGAGACTCTAAAATATCAGGAAGATCCCCAAAAGTAGACTGTCATAAAAAAGGGGCCAGACAAAGGTCTCATAAAAAGGAGGCAAGTAGATGCATGTGAGACAAGAGGGCATCCATGCCAAGGAGATCCCAACAACAAAGGAGCCATGTATGAAGGGATTAGGTTGAGGAACACAAGCACATCAATGAGGAAAATAGAAGGGTAAGTGTATCTGCCAGTGTATCCAGAGAGGTAGCATGGGATGATAGAGCAAAGGCTGGAGGTGGGAAAGGACTTTCCAAATCCTTTTTTTCAGGACCAGATTCCCCATGAAACTGGAGATGTTGCCAAGGTTCTACACACATAGCAGACTGCAAGATAGTTTACAACTCATGGCACACCATGACTGAAATTTCCTCCACTAAAAGCATGTAGTCTGATGCCACAGAAGTAGTAAGTGGTGATGGATCAGTAGTGGCCAGATCCATAATGGAAGGTGCTATAATAAAATAATGTGGACATAAAAAGAAAAATATTCCACAAATACTAAGTAAACAGAAAATATATGAAACAAACTAAGAGTTGTCAAAATACATTAGAATTAACCAAAAGTGCACATGACAATACTAAGTACAGAGCAAAAATTGAGCACAACTGCCAAATCGAGAAGCAATGATAGTGATATACAGTATAGAAGAAGTCAGCTATGCTAGGAGGGTGTGTTGCACTCCTATTTGTGGAGGGTTTTCACATGCTCATTTGCACATCACACTGCAGCTATACCACAAGAAATTATGTGAGAGTAGGTGGGTGCATCAAAGTTAGTAACAAACAAAACTTGCACACATAGAGGTAAGGTATCGTATCCGAATTATTTCTATTAAGCACATCTAGTGGAACTGGTCTTACACTTACAAAGATATGTGTAATACTAACAAACTGATAACACGGTAGAACAGGTATAGAAAATGCAACCTTATTTTCCTCTTGTAAATTTCATTGTTTAAATAAATTGTAACACATCTGACTAAGTTCAACTGTTACATGTTATTTTCATTCTCTAATCAATGCTCTGATGTATATACTTGCCACTATAAAGAGATTTGAAATTTTTTACCTTGGTAAAAGACCAGATAAACCTCTTCGCTTAGGTTTCACACCTCCTTTAATGGACAAATCATCTACTGAATGAAAACTGGTTATATCTGTCAGGTCTAATCCTTCTGTACCAGTACTTATTGATGATATGCTAGTAAATGAAGATGTATCAGTTTGAGGAAGAGAAATGGTTGTTTGACATCTCTGTAAGATATCTAACCTTTGTCCACCATCTATATCTTTACCATCAACTTTGTCACTGTTTTCTTCTTCTGTTATAGAAGAACTCTCACTTTTTGCAAGAAGTTCTTGAAAGGAACCATTATCAAAGTATGAATTACTGAATGGAGTACCTTCTGAACTCCTGATAGACTTCAGCTTTCTACACAAACCTTCATATTCTGGCAAGTCTTCAGAAGAAGGAGAATCAATATCCATTGAGAAACACTTGCCATCCTTCATGAAAAACCCATCTGTTTTGTTTTTTAGACCAAATAATTTAATCTGTTCATTTGGATGTAACTGTTTAGTGACAGGATTATATACAAGAGGTATAGACTCCAAAACTTCATCTAAGGTTGCCTTGTTTGAACTGTCTGTAGTAAATTTTTGAACATGTCCATTGGGCTCAGAAACAGCAAAAAACTTGTTGATGCTAAGTGATGACTGTAAATTGGGGCTATTTTTATTACTGCTAGATTCACTGAAATTTTCAGGACAAAAAGCAGTGGCTGTTCCAGACATAGAAAACTGATACTTGTATAAACTGAAAATATCACTGATTAGCCTTCTTTACAACAAAAACACTTTGTTTGAATACTTCAACTTTCATACTCAACTGAATGATCTCTAAAGCAGTCAAGAATGGTATTCGTGAGGAGTATACAAAAATGACATCAAACCTGCAGAATAAAGAAATGAACACAGTATGTTAGATCACATGATGATATTTCATATAATCAGTTCTAACTTTATTGTGAAGGATTTTAAAATGTTTGTCATTTAAAGAAGAACTCCTTAAATTTATAAAAAAAGTTAAAAATGGCTAAAAAAAGGATTTTATTTAATCCCCTTAATAATTTAATTTCAGCATTTATAATATTACAATTTCAGAAAACAGACTTGTTTTGTAGTATATTACTGTATTTTTCGGTGTATAAGACACACTTTTTTACCCTAAAATTTGATGTCAAAATCTGCTTGCGTCCTACATACCGAAGGTATGAATAATATATATGTATATATACGACTGTAACTTTTTTTTCCCCAAAACTTTGTCTTCAAAATAAGGGTGCGTCTTATACACATGTGCGTCTTATATTCCGAAAAATACGGTACATTGTTTAATTATATACTGCAAGTTTTATTTACAGATTTTTCAGTTATCTCTTTCTCCATAGTAAGAGGTCTAACTTTTTGTTGTTTTAGGAATATTAGGAAATTATTCAATTTAGCAATTAACCATAAACACTGTAAGTAGAGACATAATGAACATCAAATATGGAGCACTTGTAATTAGCAATATCCATCTTGGTTAATAGTGGATTTTAATGTTAGATTTATCTACAGATAAACCTATAAACTGTTAAGTATAAACAAGCAGCTTAATTTTAGATACAATTTAATTATATACTTATTGCATGGGTAGATTGGTAGCAAATATTCATTTATTAGTTGGTCAGACAGCATTTTTTGTTCAACTTGGTGCTGACGGTGGATAAAACAAAATATGTGGGCTAGTTAACTAATTAATGAATATTTGTTGTAAAATTCTTATCAATGCTATTAGCATAGCTACCAATTTTCATTTCATTCCCCTAACTCACAAGCTGAATCCTTTTTGTCAATACACACCAACAAACCACAGCAAGTAAGAAAGTGACACTCGATAGTAACAAACATCAGCTTTAGGACTGCAACTCTGTTATTCTGACCTATACTTTACAGAACCAATCAGATTCTTTAAAATAAATGGTGGTAGTTTTCCTCTCTAATATAATGTTAATAACTTCCTTTACAGTAATGCCATGGAAACTAGATTAACAGTTTCTTGTCATCACCCATATGCACTTGATACGGCCATATCATGTATCATTATTTATGCTAATACCATATGATGCTAAACACTCTTTAATTAGGAGAATTTCATAAAATTTAGCAAATTTGTGCTTAAAATTTGGAATGAATAATAACCATCTACCCATATGATTCTTTTGAAAATTTGAGCTTGAAATTGTTAATCTAGTTTGCTTAAGCTAACCAATACTTATCTATCTGCACATGCTTTCAAACTATAGTTTTGCTGTTCTAAATCTGCGTCTTTAATCTGAATGACAAAAACTAAAAACAGTCTACCTTCACTCTTAGGTAAAGCTATAGTAAAATTCTTAGACCAATAGCTCGCATGACTTTTTGTGCAGCCATGTGCAAAAATTTGGTCAAACTTAAGCAGTTTGAAAAACAATCCATGAAAGCTAAGTATGTTTTTCTATCAAATAAAGTTTCCGTACTTTCGGTGTGAAGAAAAAAAAAGGGAAAATTCAGTCAAAATTGGAGATTTTATATCTAGTGTATTTCTTAATGGATGGCCTTGAAATTTGGCATGTAAAGTAAGGGTCCAGAAGAGCACATCCACTGAAAATATGTGATAGTTTGAATTACCACAGTCTGAGCTACAGAGAGTGGAAAATTGCTAAACTATCACTCCTGTTAATAACATAGTGTGTCCTAGAGTGTGTCTTGAATAAAGACTAGTAAAACTTAAATATTGTTAGAAGCACAGTAATTCAGGATAAGTTGGGTGTAATGTATAGGGTATGATACATTCCAGAATTGAGTTGTGTGTGATATTTGTGGGTTTGAATGCAATTTTTAAAAGGTTCATACAGATACAGTACTCTACATTAGCAAAGCTTGCTTACTTGAGAATACGTTAAAGATAGCTTTGGGTAACATTCTGCTTCAGAGGAGAAAAACTACAGATTACAAGCAAATATCAAGGATGCAAGACATAAAATGGATGGAATTAGGATAAAGGTTGCTTCGAGGGAGAGTGGTGAGTTTAGATGGATATGCATTGATAAAAAAGTTAGGGCTACTGAGGCATGCATATGTACCACTTTCAAATAGATTTGAACTTTTGGTTGAATGCCATGAAGATCAAGAGGCTTACACAGTGGATGACTCTCATTAAGCATACTGATAAAGATATTTGTATTGGGTAGCATAGATGTACTTGCCAAGTTCTAAAGAACAAATATTGGGTATATTAAAGTTTAGTTGCTGGTATGAAGAAGAATTCTCATTTTGAAGATCATGTTAGAGCAAATGATGATGAAAACTGTGAAACAGAAGAGCTGCTTAAAAAGTAAAAAAGAACTCCTTCAATGATTTAGGGCTAAGAATAGACTTGTGGCCCTAGGCAGGGATAAATTTTTGTTTCTTTTTCTCACTCTTGAGAATAAAGAGGTAAGAACCTAAGAAGTGATCTTATTAAAGTTTACGTTATTAACCAGGAGATTGATAAGATTAAGGCCTATGATTTCCTTGTGCTATATTGTGGAGGAAACAGTATTAAAAGGACAGGCTAAGCTCCACTTACAAATATTTCATTCTTCGAACAACTTGACTGACTTAAGGAATGGTTTGTCATTGGCTCTAGCAGAGGCCAATACTTTAAAGAAGTTTAAAGTAATTGATTATTCTTTGAAAAGTAAAAGTAGGGTTTAAATTTTTAATTTTTCCAAGAAGGAATGCTACATGTACAGTCATGAAGGGCCAACTGGTTCCTTGTAGTCTGCAAAAAAATATTTAGAGAACGATAATCATTGCATAATTAGGTTTAATGTCATGTTGAGATCAGAAGAAATGCAATTTTTAGTTCCTATTATCAGAAATTTAATTTTGAGACTATAAAGATGAAAGATTTACCAAAGTATATGAAAGCTTGGAATCTGGTTAATTATAAATAATTTATAATATTAAAACTAACAACAATAATTTATTAATACATGTTAAAATGGAATTTGGGCACTTAAAGGATGCAGATGGCATGGTATTTGTTGTTAACTACAAGATGACCAAGATTTTTTGTGTTTTATTCCCTTCTGTTTTTACAAGAGGATATCAGCAATATTATTTCACAAACCTGATCATTCTGTGGAAATCTTAGGATTGACATAAATCATATAGACATTAATTAATCCCTTGGTGGTAAAAACGTAGAGTGAATTATTTAAACAAGAGTTTAAAAGAAAGCCTGGAAGGAACAAATGGTCTTTGCTGCCCATATGTTATGTTGTTAAGGAACCTGGCCAAGTTTAGAATTTCTTTGTCAAGTTCATCTGTCAAAAAATTGGTAAAGGTGTACAAGTCTTTCACAATAAATGTGCCATTCTAAATCTGCCTTCACAAGAGTGGATGTTAGCAATATTTCAGGCCCTGAGCATTCTTTGGAAAATACTGGAATGAACCTGAATCATGTATACATTAATTCCTTGATGGTAAATAAAACAAAAAATAATCAAAACTAAAGCAGAAGGATAAGAAACCGTTTTTTTGTAGGGTTTTAAGGGAGATCAAAGATCATATATGTGAGCACTCTTTCACTTGTAGTAAGTCAATATACAGTAGGCACGTGCCAGATGATTAAATAGTTGTTAATGTTACTACTGTTCTTATAGTGGCTGATAAGAGTTGCCCTAGAAACAACAGGACAGTTTAATACTACATATCTAATGGGGAAAATTCCACACAGTTTGATAAAATAAGCTTTGAAAAATCATCTAGTAAAATATGATATAAAAGAAATTCAACATGGGTCTGTCTTATCAAAAACCAATTTTGAAGGGATGAGAGAAAACTTATCTATTGTGAATTTGGAAAATTTTGAAGGGATGAGAGAAAACTTATCTATTGTGAATTGGGAAAATTTTGAAGGGATGAGAGAAAACTTATCTATTGTGAATTGGGAAAATTTTGAAGGGATGCCAGAAAACTTATCTATTGTGAATTGGGAAAATTTTGAAGGGATGCCAGAAAACTTATCTATTGTGAATTGGGAAAATTTTGAAGGGATGCCAGAAAACTTATCTATTGTGAAAATTAAGTAATTGGAGATACTGATCAAATATGAATTTGTTTTTATATATCCAAGTTAGACATGTTCCTTATAGAAGAAAAATGAGTGGCTGCAAGTAAAAAAATCAAGTTGGCTAACAAAGAATATAAGGAATAAAATTAAGGATGGGAGTCTAAGAGAATCAAAGATCAAACACATCAGGCAATAAAAAATGTTGCAAGACAGAAAATATATGGAATTAGGGTAAAGATTGCTATGGGAGAGTGTTAGAATGGCTGAAAATGTAAAATTTACTTTAAGAATAAGTAAAATGTCAGAATGGGTTTGTGTGTGTTTGTAAAGCTCAAAGCTACACAATGGGCTACCTGTACTATGCCTACCACAAGTACTGAAACCTGATTTTTACCATTATGTGCCATCAGACTACTGCTGTGTTACAGTTGGGGGAAGAGGGCATTGAAATGGGAACAGAGCCTTTGAGGGATAACAATGGAGGGCTCATTTCTGATGATTATGAGATGGCTTGACTACGAAACTCCACTATTTCTTCAGTTTTTACTCATGAAGATTCAAGTAATATTCCTCATCTTGAACAGTTGGTGAATGTAAACATTGCCGAATGAGATGGTCACACTGGTTAAGAGCTAGTTAAGAAAAAATTAGGAAGTTTAAAAAATAATAAGGCTCCTGAGCCAAATAACATTTCCCATATGGTTTTAAAGGAGGTTAATATTTCTTGCAAGTCAGGGAGGTTATAAACATTTTCCAAGTAATTATAGGCCTATTAGTCTTACATTAGTGGTGGGAAAATTTTTTGAAAGCCTGATAAAATATTTTGCAAATTCATTTAATAAGGTTTAAAATCTTGCCATGTAGTCAACATGGTTTCACTAAGAGAAAATCTTGCCTTACTAATCTTGTTTGACATTCTTTGAAAGCCTACGTAGATGAAAGTGAAAATGTGGATTTGATATATATTAGGTTATCAAGAAATTACTGCCCCATTTTGGAACACTTTCATTAACCTATAGTCTCAGCTATAATGGCAATATTTCCCACAATTATAAAAGTTCCCTTTTCCTAGTATCTTCTGAGAGAAGTTATTAATCCATACAGGTTAGAGTCTACAGTTCCTTGCAGTTACACCTATTTTCTTGTGGTCTATTTCTCCCATTCTGTGTGATTAGCTGTCATATAATTATTTCAGTTCTTCTAGACTACTCTTAAGGAGAGATGATGTTTCAATATTACAAAATCTAATGATCCTATAGCTTCTAGATGGAGCCTTAGTAGTTTAAATGCAACTTTAATAGATTCAAGCTTTACTGCCAGCTAAATAGCTTCATTTAAAGATGAACACCTAGTTTGGTTCAGCCTAATTCTCATATCCTCATCTGTTATAACATCTATAAATTAGTCATGTGCCAATGAATTTATCATTTCATGATGAGTGTCCAAGTAAGTTAATTGTGCAATTCTTTCCAAATTTTCTGCAAGTCTGGCTAAGACCTCTTCTTTCCTTTATACATTGTTATGGAACTTTATTCTGGATATTTCCTTTTGGTGTGTCATTCCAAACCTGTTGAATAATGCAGCTACCAACATTTGATAGTTATTAAGACTCTCAGCTGTTTTTAAAGCAGATCCTTTTAAATGGGCATGAAGATTAATAGCTTCTTCTTAACTATTCCAACTGGTCATTTTGGAAATTGTTTCGAACTGAGCCTGATATACCTCCCATGGTACCTTTCGAACATAGTCTGTTGGTTTACTTAATTGGTAAATATCATTGAACTGGTAAGCTCAATTCTGGACCTGGGTTTGATGGTAACATGGCTATGTTAATCCAGAAAGCACCTACAGTAACAGACAGTACAGCAGTAGTAATTATACGTGGAGACCAAAGAGGTTCTTCTATTCCATATTTAATAGTAAATGGTGTTTTGGGTTGAAACTCTTGGGCTGATATAGAAAGAAGTATCGCTGGTTTATGCTCTATATTTACCAACTCTTTTACCAAAAAATTCCTTTTCTGTCATTGACTTCTCTTTTTTACACCTTCAATTTTCTTACTACAATCTTTCTATACTTCATTCATGACTCTCTGTATTTTTTCAGTTTTGTCATTACAACCTTCCTGTACCACTTTGATGTCCTTCTGCATTTCTTCAAACTTGCAATCCCTCTATACAACCCCACTAGCTTCATGGATCTTGTCTTCGATCATATTTATTTTTGATCTTATATCTCCTTTAAATGTTTTTTCTTTCTGTTTAACTCCTCTCTTAAATTCTTGTCTCATTCTTCTAATCTGTTGTCTCTTTCTTCTTCTTGTTCTATTAGTTTTCCAAACAATTCTAGGTTTCTATAAACTTTATATCTCATTGTCGTAGCTTTCAATTGCTTCTTCTTGGTCTTTTTTTAATTTTCTGACTCATTCTTGTTGTTTTTCTTTTAATTTCTTATTTCTCTCTTCTTGATTTTCTTTTAACTGTTTCATTAACTCCAATAAGTCTTTAATATTACCTTATAACGTCACATCGGAAGTTAAAGTTTAGTGAATGGGTAAACATAAGCCCATTTTTCATACTGGTAGTGTAATACCTTTTCTTTTTTGGGGGCTGGACATTTTGAACAATTTTGTGAAAAAATTTAATGTCCAATAAACTTAATGACAACAAATTAGTTTATTTCTTCCTTAAAATTTCTATAGGTTTGTACATTGTTGTAAGATGTAGGCCTACATTTACTAAGTATACTATGACTAATGTAGAAAAAAATCTACCTCTACAATTTCACAGCTGATCTATCAAGTAACTGAATTATAGTGAATATATACTTAACAACTAACATTGATACAAATAGTTCCCTCACACTGGCACTCTAGCAACAAAATGGGCTAATTCACTATAAGCTTAGATACTTGAATGGCCCAAATTTATTTATATCTGATGTTTCACTTCTAGATGTTCCTCAAAGTTACTAGATTTTCATGATGTCAAAGTTAGAATGTTCTAGATATTCCAGGCCTACTTTTGAGGTTTGTTTTTAATGTTAATATAATGTACCATCTTGCTAATATCTAAACTAAAACATTCAAAGTATACCTTATGGTATATGGTGCCACATAAAAAAGCTTGTTAAAAAAATAATTATTTAGTTCTGAGGGGTAAGTTGGTTTTTTTAGTCAAACTGGATTAATGTCACAAAAGAGGTACCTTGGGGTCTAGTGTTAGGACCTTTGCTCTTTTATGATTTACATCAATGACCTAGATGAAGAAATGTTCAATAAATGAGTTAAATTTGCTGATGATACTGAGTGTTGCTTGGCCGTAAGAAGAAAGCTGCTAAATTACAAAAGGTTTAGATTATTTTGTGAGTAGAGCAAATAAATGGCAGATGGTTTTCAATTATAATAAATCCAAGGAAAGTATACTTTTCATGGGAATAACCTTAACAATGTTAATGTCATGGAAGAAAAGGATCTTCTTGTTCTGGCTGGTAAATGTGCTGTTGTTATTGGTTGGGCAAGTAGCATTTTAGGTTGTATTTACAGAAATATTTAATACAAGTCTAAAAATGTTATTTCATTGTACAAGTCATTAGGTAGCTTTATTTGTAATATTGTGTTAAGTCTTGGACTCCTTAACTTAAGAACACCATTGAATTTGGAAAAAGTTCAGATGGCTACTACTTATAGGATGATTTTGAAGATTGAATGCTTATTTTATGGGGACAATTGACATAAATTTATTTATTTTGAGATAAGAAAGGCATGAAGTAATATAACTGAAGTTTCCTGTTAATGGGAGACCAAAATGGATAAAGGCTACTGATTTCTTCCTTTGTGTCATATTCTGAACGAATGAGCAAAAGTTTAAGATTTGGAGAATATAGGCTAGACTCTAGTTGAGAAAATAATACTTTTCTAATAAGATTATTAGCTTATGGAATGAGTTTCCATTAACAGTAAGGAGGCTAACATTTTGCAAGTGCCTAAGTGGAAAATAGATCATTTTTATCAAAAATAGAGAATGAATTTAAATCTACTTTTTTTCTCTCAGGGATGTGTGTATAGGTACAGCATTAAATGCCCAAATTTCTAAGTTTAATAATAATATATTTTACAGTACATATACCTATTAATAAAGTTTTTAGTATATAGGTATATCATAATCCATTATAATTCAATTTCTTCTCTTATAATTATACTTTTAGCCTCAGCATAGTGGCTCATAGAATGACTCCGAGGTTTTTTCAAGAACAAACTTGTAGCTCATAGCTCCATCTCTTTACTGATTGATAATCTAATTATAGCTGCAATTATTGAACACTAGAAATTACACTAGAAATCTTTCACGTCTAAATAATATTATTAAAAAATGGATATAGCATCCTATCCAATATATAATATCAAAAGTTGGGGCATCTAATTTTGGACATAATTTAACCTGACCAGATTTCAAAAAACATGATAGAACCTATAACTGTTCATGTATAATTTCTAATTTTAGCCTTTTTGCTCATCTTGTCTCCTTGCTTCTCGTCTGTGAAACATTTTAAAAGTTACATTACTTTTGTTAAAAGTACACATAATGTCAATGAAAATAAAAATTGAAGCACAGAATAACATTTTGCACACCAACTCATTTAAATGTACTTCATATGTAGATAATATTGAAAGGTACATATATATAATTATAAATCAAAATCAAAAACGTAAGATAAATAAATATTAAAGTAATAAAAAAGCATGTTGGTTTTTCTTCCTGAAACATGCACTTAACTACCGAAACAAGAAGTTTCAAATGAACTACCGTTACTCAGTTTATTATCTGAATTATTAATAGTATAGTATCACTACTTAAAAACTATAAGTTTGGGCTACGGTTTGAGTGAGTAATGAAGAAAATTTTATTGTAAATAAATGTACAGATCTTCGACAAAATCATATCATCATCAGGTGCCTTTGTACACTTATAATAAAGTTTTCTTCATTACTACTACTAGTTCAAGCCGTTTTCAAACTTAGTTTTATTTTCTAAAAGTAAATATAAAATGTGGGTTCCTCGTCATCAAATTTAATTTTAAGTATTGCTACTTCAAACTTCAGTACTTGTTAGTGTTACTGTTAGGGCGCACTACTCATCTAAGGCTAAGACTATTTTACCAACAACAGTAACGAATTTCAAACCTATACTTCATCTGTGTGCACCTATACGAACTTCATTATTCTTGTATTATTGAGTTATAACAAACACATATAATTAAAAACTGGACATTTCTTACCGTAAACACAAACACACGCCCCTAACTAATATATACTTTATATGTGTGTATGTATGTGTGTGCGTGCGTGCGTAAACGAAGCGCCACCTTAAAGCATAGGGCACTTTTTTTTTCTACATTTCCTCAAAAACAGAGCGGTCGACAGTTAAATACAGGTTGGAATTGCTACTTGAAAAACCAGGTACCCGTCAGATTTTTAGTTACCTCGACCCCGATGGAGTCCCGGTTTACTAACTGTTTATCAGTTATTAATTTGATAATTTATAGAAAATGTGGGAAATATGTGTTCCCTCGAATTGTCAGATTTTGTTAGAGGAAGGATAGTTGGTCAAGCAGATGGTGGAATAAGTCAGCGGCAAATTTCGCAGAATTTGAGAATCCCGCTTTTGACAGTCAACATCGTATAGTTCGGGAAATACGACAAGGAAACAACTGAGCAGCGTCCGGGTCGTCCTGGTCCA